TTACTGTTGTGCATCATGAATCTGCCTAGAAGCTGGTTTGCTGAATGCCTGTAGAAATTTGATTTCTAAAGGGTTCAGCATATGACATAAAGCATAACTCTTAACAAACACCTAATCGATCCTGAGGCTTTGAGAATGATTGATATTTGTCAGTTTTTGATGCAGTTTGTTTAAAATGATGACTGATATGTGTCTTTATGTCTAGTTATAGAAAAATTCACTAGCCAAAGTAAAATATAGAAGTACGAAATCCATTAACCCCTGAGGAAGAAGCACAGTGAAAGAGCTAGTACTCTTCCTTGTAAATTTAATTGCTAACTCATAATCACACCTCACCTCCATAAAATATCAATCAGGTATGTACAACAGAAAGAAGCTGGTAGGTCAGAAGGAAAGGCCAGTTTGATTAGTTGCAAACAATACTTCCAGAAAATCTTGGACTTCGTTCTTTTTCTAGGAATTATTCACAGATATAAATCTTGGTTCAGCAAACATGCTGTAGTCAATGAGAAGTGAGTCAGCCAGACTACACATGGCAGGAAAGTTAAGCATGCACAAAAAATGTTTGCAGAATCAGACTATATGCTGTTTTGATCTGACCAGCTCCATAGGCAAATAATTGGGTGTGAAAAATATTCAGATGGTGAATGTTGGCATTGGTTCATTAAATTATATTTTGTATCTAGTATGTTGTTACTTGACTAGCTATATCTATACCCTGTACACAGACCGGGCAGGCAGCTTTTCAAAGCAAGTGTCCTCAAGTTCTTTGCTTTCATAAAAAAATAATAAAGTTTCCAGCTGTTACAAAGATGCCTTCTAAGCCTGAACCAAAGGCAACTAGGCAAGTGATATCTTCCTAACTCTGCTCACAGCAAGCCCAAATGCCTCTGTTGCTGCTCAGAGCTTTCTCATGGCATGCTAAAAACAAGTTGCCCAGTCTAGTTAGTTTGTATGAGTGTTACATAGGACACTGAGAAAAAATATACAAATCAGATTGACTTCACAGCTCTGCAGCTAGTCTCAGCTCTGCCCAGCAGCAGAGACAGGCATCCCAGCTATGCAGTGAAAGGAAAGAGAAGTAAAAAATGAAGACAGGGGATGGGAGGATTATAGAGACTCAACTCTCAGAATCCAGAAAGCAATGGGAGGGGTAGTGTAACAGGACCTCCTCCTTCCAGATAAACTGCAGCAACTAGAAGACTATGACTTCTGGGAAAGGAATGGTGAAGAAAGAACGAAAGAACAAAAGTATGAAAGAGAAAGAAAAAGAAAGAAAGACAGCAAGCAAGCTTGCCAGGAAGTGGGGGGTGTGGGGTCATCAAACACCTATTGTTGGAGATTACCCAGAGATGAAATCTCTTGGTAGCATGCACAAACTAGGAATTCCTGGAGGGAATTCTTACGTATTTCACTTCCAGCAGCTGTAGCAGGCAGGAAAATGCTGGTTTCTGTCCCGGGCATTTTCCTGTGGAACTTGTGCCTAATCCTAGTTCTTTTGTTATTATTACGTGTCTGGAAAAGATTCCACTCCCTCCGAGTATGGATGGGTATGAATGGGTGCAATAATGGCAACATTGCCAAGATCAAGCTTCAAAAAACTCAAAGGAAAAGACCTTAAGATAACTTGGGAGAAGATATGTCAATACCTATTATAGGACGAAAAAGATAATAACATCACAATGGGAAATCAGGTCTAACAAAAGCAAAATAGATGGAGTACAGTAAGTTACAGTAAGAGATTAAAATAAATTTTTTTGGCAAATTGCAGTTAAGTAATGTGCCAAATAAGCAACAAAGAACTCTATAACCTTAGTGTTGGTGGGGGGTCGGGCATTAGTTTTGACCTTGAGACCATACAAAGATAAGTACTGTACTGTTTATAAGATTCAATCCTCAAACTAGCAAGAAATGGGTAAGTTTCTCAAGCTCTGCATATAATATCAGTGTACTGTATGTAGGTAAAATATATTTACCGTAACAAGATGCTATGCCATTTCCTGTAAATCCTGGGGAGCAGTAGCAGCCTTGGTGTCCACCCTTAATTTCACACTTTGCATCTTTATGGCATGGCATGGTGCAGTTCGGAGAACCATAGCCATAGTCCAGCACAGTGGACATAAGCACTGAAATAAAGAAAAACCATGAGTTTCTGGTTGTTTAAAAACATTCTGCATTCTGAACCCAGGCTAGGACATACACACCTGATTAGCTAGGGACATTCCAGCTATTTTAACATTAAAGAGAATGGAATCATGGTACAAAGGTTTGAATTCCAGTCGTCCCGGAGACTATTGGATAAGGCTACTTATAAGTCAGTACGTGTATTTGTCTTTGGACAACGGAAGACTATTTATATTTTCAACAAGTGTAAAAATGGCAAATGATGTGGAAGACACAGAGAGGGTAGAGAAAAAAAAAACATTTTAAAGATTTTCAGAGCTTTTTAGTTTTCACAGAGAATAAAGCAGCTGCTTTTAATTTGTACCTACAGTTACATATGGAGAGTAATCCAAATTATTCAAAAGATATCAAGTGAAAAATACCAGTAAGAGATCCTCATATCAGTGTTTTTAAGCACTTGCATCCATATCCAGCTAACATATTCACAGTCTCAGAAGATTAAATTGAACTGCAACAGCATTTGTGGGGTTATCATTTAAAAATTCAAAATTATTTTAAAGACAATTTTATTGAATGTGCTGTCTGCATTATAAAAATGCTGTCTTCTTTCC